CATTGTTTGTATCTGCAATAGAGAGTACATTGTTTGTATACTGCTTACTGTCAGAGTACATTGTTTTGTATACCTGCACTGTCTAGTACATTGTTTTATACCTTTGTCTAGAGTACATTGTTTGTATACCTGCACTGTCTAGTACATTGTTTGTATACCTGCACTGTCGAGAGTACATTGTTTGTATACCACTGTCTAGGTACATTGTTTTGTATGCCTGTACTGTCGAGGTACATTGTTTGTATACCTGCATATCTAGGTACATTGTTTGTATACCTGCACTGTCTGGTGTGTTTGCATATACCTGCACTGTCTAGGTACATTGTTTATATACCTGCACTGTCTACATTACATTTATTTGTATACCTACACTGTCTAGAGTACATTGTTTGGCATACCTGCACTGTCTAGAGTACATTGTTTGTATACCTGCACTGTCTAGAGTACATTGTTTGTATACCTGCACTGTCTAGTACATCGTTTGTATACCTGCACTGTCTAGAGTACATTGTTTGTATACCTGTCGAGAATACATTGTTTATACCTACACTGTCTAGGTACATTGTTTGCATACCTGCACTGTCTGTTGCATACCTGCACTGTCTGATTGCATGCCACTGTCTAAATTTACATTGTTTGTATACCTGCACTGTCTAGGTACATTGTTTGTATACCTGTGCTGTCTAGGTACATCGTTTGTATACCTGCACTGTCTAGGTACATCGTTTGTATATACCTGCACTGTCATTTGTTGCTCTGTCTACTGTCTAGATGCATTGTTTATACCTGCACTGTCTAGGTATTGTTTGTATACCTACTGTCTAGGTACATTGTTTGTATACCTCCACTGTGTCATTACATTGTTTGCTTATACCTGCATATCTAGAGTACATTGTTTATATACCTGTCTAGGCACATTGTTTGTATACCTGCATATCTAGGCACGTGTTTGTACCTGCACTGTCTGGGTACATTGTTTGTATACCTGCATATCCTAAAATTACATTGTTGTATACCTCTGTCTAGGTACATTGTTTGTATACCTGCACACTGTCTAGAGTACATTGTTTGTATACCTGCTGTCTCATTACATTGTTTATATACACTGTCTATAATTACATTGTTTGTACCTGCACTGTCTAGAGTACATTATTTGCATACCTGCATAATACATTGTTTGTATACCTGCACTATCTAGTATTGTTTATATACCTGCACTGTCTAAATTACATTGTTTTGTATACCTACTGTCTAGAGTACATTGTTTGTATATACCTACACTGTCTAAATTACATTTCCTACACTGTCTAGGTACATTATTTATACCTACTGTCTAGAGTACATTGTTTGTATACCTGCACTGTCTAGAGTACATTGTTGTATACCTGCACTGTCTGGGTGCATTGTTTGTATACCTGCACTATCTAGAACATTGTTTGTATACCTGCACTGTCTAGAGTACATTGTTTGTATACCTGCACTGTCTAGGTACATTGTTTTATACTGCTATCTAGGTACATTGTTTGTATACCTGCACTGTCTAGATACGTGTTTATATACCTGCACTATTCCACCATTATTGTTTGTATACCTGCATTACATTGTTTGTATACCTGTCTAGAGTATTCATTTTGTATACCTGTCTAGGTACATTGTTTGTATACCTGCACTGTCTAGTACATTGTTTGTATACACACTGTCTACATTGCATTTGTTTGTATACCTGCACTGTCTAGTACATTGTTTGTATACCTGTCTGTTTATTGTTTGTATACTACCACATCTCAGTAATCGTTTGTGTATACCTGCTGTCTAGGTACATTGTTTGTATACCTACTACTGTCTAGTACATTGTTTGTATACCTGCACTGTCGGGTACATTGTTTGTATACCTGCACTGTCTAGAGTATTGTTTGTATATACTAAGTACATTGTTTGTATACCTGCACTGTCTAGGTGCTTTGTGTTTGTATACCTGCACTGTCTAGGTACATTGTTTGTATACCTGCACTGTCTCGGTTACATCGTTTTGTATACCTGCACTGTCTAAATTCATTGTTTGTATACCTATATACTGTCTAGGTACATTGTTTTATATATGCACTGTCTAGGTACATTGTTTGTATACCTGCACTGTCTAGGTACATTATTTGTATACCTGCACTGTCTAGGTACATTTGTTTGTATACTGTCTGGAGTACATTGTTTGTATACCTACTTTGTCTAGGTACATTGTTTGTATACCTGCATAGGTACATTATTTGTATACTACTGTCTAGGTACATTGTTTGTATACACATATACTATCTAGGTACATTGTTTGTATACCTACTGTCTAGAGTACATTGTTTTGTATACCTGCTGTCTCATTTGTTTATGCTCCTGCACTGTCTCCTTTGACTGTTTTGTATACCTGCACTGTCTGGAAATTACATTGTTTGTATACCTGTCTAAGTGCATTATTTATCTCTACACTTTCTCAGTACATTTGTTTTATACCCTACTGTCTCAGTACATCGTTTATACCTACTATCACAGTGCATTGTTTGTATACCTATACTGTCTAGGTACATTGTTTGTATACCTACACTGTCTAGAGTACCATTTGTTTGTATATGTCTAGAGTGCATTGTTTGCATGCCTGCACTGTATTTGGCATACCTGCACTGTCTAGGTACATTGTTTTGTATACCTATACTGTCTAAGGCCATTGTTTGTATACCTGCACTGTCTAGGTACATTGTTTGAATACTGCTGTCTAGGTACATTGTTTTGTATACCTACTTGTCTGGGTAGCTATTGTTTGTATACCTGCATGTCTAGGTACATTGTTTGTATACCTGCACTGTCTAGGTACATTGTTTAGCACCTGCACCTCTAGGTACATTGTTTGTATACCTGCACTGTCTTCAGTACATTGTTTGTATACTGCACTGTCTAAATTACATTGTTTAGCCTTTTTCTGTATCATTTTGTTTGTATACCTGCACTGTCTAAATTACATTGTTTGTATACCTGCACTGTCTAGGGTTACATTGTTTATACCTGCACTGTCTCAGTACATTGTTTTGTACACTATCTGGGTACATTGTTGCCTCTCTGCATTGTTTGTATACCTGCACTGTCTAGGTACATTGTTTGTGCCTGCACTGTGTGTTTGTGTTTGTATACCTGCACTGTCTAGGTACATTGTTTGTATACCTGCACTGTCTCGGTACATTGTTTGTACACACCTGCACTGTCTAGGTACATTGTTTGCTGTACCTGCACTGTCTAGGTACATTGTTTTGTATACCTGCACTGTCTCAGTACATTGTTTGTATACCTGCACTGTCTAGAGTACATTGTTTGTACACACTGTCTCAGTACATTGTTTTGTACACCTGCACTGTCTAGGTGCATTGTTTTGCCTGCACTGTCTCGGTACATTGTTTGTATACCTGCACTGTCTAGGTACATTGTTTGGCCTTCTACACTGTCTCGGTACATTGTTTTGTATATACCTGCACTGTCTAGAGTACATTGTTTGTATACCTGCACTGTCTCAGTATTGTTTATACCTGCATCTAAAGTACATTGTTTGTGTACCTGCACTGTCTAGAGTACATTGTTTGTATACTGCACTGTACAGTACATTGTTTGTATACCTGCACTGTCTAGGTACATTGTTTGTATATAAATTACATTGTTTGTATACCTGCACTATATCTAAATTACATTGTTTGTACCTACTGTCTCAGTACATTATTTGTATACCTGCACTGTCTAGGTACATTGTTTTGTATACACACTATCTAGGTACATTATTTGTATACCTGCACTGTCTCAGTACATCACGTTTGTATACCTGCACTGTCAAATTTACATTTATACCTGCACTGTCTAGAGTGCATTGTTTGTATACCTGCACTGTCTAGGTGCATTTGTTTGTATACCTGCACTGTCTAGGTACATTGTTTGTATATACTTTCATCTAGAGTACATTGTTTGTATACCTACTGTCTAAATTTATGTCACCTGCACTGTCATTTGTTGTTTTGTATACCACACACTGTCTACATTACATTGTTTATACTGTCTAGTACATTGTTTTATCTCAGTAGCACATCGTTGCTATACACACTGTCTAAATTACATTATTTTGCTTATACCTACACTATCTACATTACATTGTTTATATACACATTTATCTAAATACATTGTTTGTATACACTATCCTGGGTACATTGTTTATATACCTGCACTGTCTAGAATTGTTTGTATACCTGCACTGTCTAGGTACATTGTTTGTATCCTGCACTGTCACTAATTACATTTGTATGCCTGCACTGTCTAGGTACATTGTTTGTATACACCTGCACTGTCTAGGTGCATTGTTTATGCATACCCTGTCTAGAGTACATTGTTTGTATACCTGCACTGTCTAGGTACATTGTTTGTATACCTGCACTGTCTAGGTACATTGTTTGTATACCTGCACTGTCTAGGTATTGTTTGTATACCTGCACTGTCTAGAGTACATTGTTTATATACCTGCACTGTCATTACATGTTTGTATACCTGCACTGTCTAGGTACATTGTTTGTATACCTACTGCATCTAGGTACATTGTTTACATATACCTGCACTGTCTAAATACATTGTTTGTATACCTGCTTAGTACATTGTTTGTATACCTCATCGCTTTTCACTATGAAAAAAAACATATCCAAGCCTGTGGAGCGACGGAGTTACTGTGGGTGGGTGAGAGAGTTAGGGTGAGGAGGGAGAGGAAGGGTGAGGGAGGGTGAGGGAGGAGGAGGGAGAGGAGAGGTGAGGAGAGGAGGTGGGGAGGAGAGGTGAGGGAGGAAGGGTGGGGAGGAGGGTGAGGAGAGAGGAAGGGTGAGGAGGGAGAGAAGGGTGAGGAAGGGGAGGGAGAGAGAGGAAGGGTGGGGGAGGAGGTGGGAGAGAGAGAGAGGAAGGGTGAGGAAGGAGGGTGAGGGAGAGAGGAAGGGTGGAGAATGACCAGCAGGTCAGAGCAGGTCGGTGTGAGTCATGGAGGTGAAGAGAATGGGAGAATCAAGGGACGTGGTGAGCTTGTCTACACTCCCCAGCTTAGTGTCAGGGCAACCCAGCCTAGACTAGTCAGCTATACCTCCCCCAAGACCCAGCAGGTGTCCTTCATCCATCCCCCAAGACCCCAGGTGTCCTTCACCATCCCCCAAGACCAGCAGTGTCCTCACCATCCAGACCCAGCAGTGTCCTTCATCCATCCACCCCAAGACCCAGCAGGTGTCCTTCATCCATCCCCCCCCAAGCCCCAGGAGTGTCCTTCATCCACCCCCCAAGCCCCAGCGATTCCTTCATCCCCCCAAGCCCCAGCAGTGTCCTTCACCCCCAAGCCCCAGCAGTGTCCTTCCCCCCAAGACCCAGCAGAGTGTCCTTCATCCATCCCCCCAAGACCCAGCAGTGTCCTTTCCCAAAGCCCCAGCGTGTCCCACCCCCAAGACCCAGCAGTGTCCTTCATCATCCCCCAAGACCCAGCAGAGTGTCCTTCATCCCAAAGCCCCAGCTGTCCATCCATCCCCAAGACCCAGCGGTGTCCCATCCATCCCCCAAGACCCAGCAGTGTCCTTCATCCATCCCCCAAGACCCAGCAGTGTCTTCATCCATCCACCCCCCAAGACCCAGCGAGTGTCCTTCATCCATCCCCCAAGACCCAGCAGTGTCCTTCATCCATCCACCCCCAAGACCCAGCGAGTGTCCTTCATCCATCCCCCCAAGACCCAGCAAGTGTCCTTCATCCATCCATCCCCCCAAGACCCAGCGAGTGTCCTTCATCCATCCACCCCCCAAGACCCAGCAGTGTCCTTCATCATCCACCCCCAAGACCCAGCAGTGTCCTTCATCCATCCACCCCCAAGACCCAGCGAGTGTCCTTCATCCATCCCCCCCAAGACCCAGCGAGTGTCCTTCATCCATCCACCCCCAAGACCCAGCGAGTGTCCTTCACCTCCACCCCCAGACCCAGCGAGTGTCCTTCATCCCCCCCCAAGCCCCAGCGAGTGTCCCTTCACCCCCCTCCCCCACACGGCGCCTAATCGTCTCACTAGATTTGTGAGAGTCTGCTAGTCTATGCCAACAGACGTGTGTTACTGGGGTATATTACAGTCCACGACACGAGGGTCTTTAGTAAGTGTGTCTGTCTGTCTGTCTGTCTGTGACCTCAAGTGGTGCTTATCAGAGAGAGAGAGAGAGAGAGATGCTACATAAAAAAACACTAAAATAAAAATACATCCCTCACTCAAAACACTACATTGATAACTGACCCCCAAACTTTGACCCCCACAGTCTAATCGCCTCTTCATCCATTTGCCAACCGTGGTCAAAATCTGCCGATCTCCTTTCCGGGTTTTTCTTAGAGACAAACTTCAACTCACAGACAGCGGGATACAACTTCTGCAGCAATAACATGGCGGTGGTGTGTGTGTGTGTGTGTGTGTGTGTGTGTGTGTGTGTGTGTGTGTGTGTGTGTGTGTGTGTGTGTGTGTGTGTGTGTGTGTGTGTGTGTGTGTGTGTGGTGACATCGGTTGGTGTCCACGTTTATTGTTAAGATAGCGACAAGTAGATCAACAATGGGAACTGAATCTGTAGTAGTAGTAGTAGTAGTAGTAGATGTTAATCAGGGCAGCTTCACTCCTCTGGTGTTCACAACCTCTGGTGGGATGAGACCAAGTTCAAGATGCTTCTACCCCAGACTCGCGGAGGTGTTATCTGAGCAGAAGTAACAGCCCAGAAGTTACGTTACAGCCTGGTTGAGATGTCGACTATCCTTCTCTCTGCTTTGCTCTGCCTCCAGGAACGAGATCTTCGCCCCAAAGCAAACAACGGTCGCAGATATTGACTATGAGGCAACAGTCACTGAATGCCGCATAGATCTGCGGCTCAACTAACTCAACACAGCTAGGGCAGCTACTTGTGTATTGGGATAGTTACTTTTAAGGTAATAAAATGGCGGCGAAGGTGTGGCTATTGTAGTAGTAGTAGTAGTAGTAGTAGTAGTAGTAGTAGTAGTAGTAGTAGATAATGATTAAGGCGACGTAAGGTCGGGTGGTAAGGGTGGAGTGATGTGAGGGCGCCGAAAAGTGGATGAGCGGAGGGAGGTATGTTGCGTCATAGGTAACCCGTTGTGTTTTCGTGGTGCAGATGTCATGAGAATGAGGCAAGCGTGTGGGTCATCTCTCTTCTTCTTTAATATCACTTTCCTTGGTTTCTGCGTGTGTGTGTGTGTGTGTGTGTGTGTGTGTGTGTGTGTGTGTGTGTGTGTGTGTGTGTGTGTGTGTGTGTGTGTGTGTGTGTGTGTGTTGTTCCTCCACTGCCTCAATACAGTATTGACTTTAGGCTCTCCCTCTACGTTAATAAATAAACAGAATCACAGTACTTGCAACTTTTGTTTTCTGAGTGAAGAATTTCGTTTCCAATTTTAGGTTCCATTTCAATTCAATTTCATTCTCGTGCCCCTCCTTTGTTACATCTTTCCTCTTCTCATTCTCTTTACTCTTGTTTCTCACTTTACTCTTTCATTTCATCCTTATTATAACCCCTCTCCTCTTCTTCTCTCTCCTCCTCCTCCCCTCCCCTCTCTCCTCCACCTTTTGCTTTCTGATTAGCCAATTTGTGATTTTTTTGTGATTTCCAATTTCGCAAACTCTCCTCCCTCTCTCTATCTCTCTCTCATTTCTCCTATTCATTATTCTTATTAGTTTATTTTCCTTCTTCATTCAATCTCTCAGACAGACAACGATGAAGCTGACTTTCTTCCCATCTGACACAAACAGCTTTTTTTTTTCCCCCTCGACAAATTCAGATTTTGTTTTGTTAGCTGGCCATTCATTACTCCTTGTCACCCCCTGAGCTTAAGATGAAGACGTATTTAACAATCTCCCCGTTAGTCTGATGTTACAGAGGTCAAAGGTCACTAGGTCAAAGGTCACTAGGTCAAAGGTCACTAGAGAGGGTAAAAAGATGTGTGTTTTAAATTACAGCTTTTATGCAACATGTCGAAGGTCTTTTGTTTTATATTATTTTGTATTTATTCCCGTTTATTTATTTATTAATTTATTTATTTATTTATTTTTACACACTAAGCAATAATTTCATGGGTTGGGTTAAGTTGGGTTGGGTTAAGTCAGGTTTGGTTAGGTTTGGTTAGGTTTGTTAGGTTATGTTAGGTTAAGTTTGGTTAGGTTAGGTTAGGTTTGGTTTGGTTAGGTTTGGTTTGGTTTGGTTAGGTTAGGTTTGGTTTGGTTAGGTTGGTTGGTTAGGTTTGGTTAGGTTAGGTTTGGTTAAGTTTGGTTAGGTTTGGTTTGGTTGGGTTAGGTTAGGTTAGGTTTGGTTTGGTTAGGTTAGGTTGGGTTGGGTTTGGTTTGGTTTGGTTGGGTTTGGTTTGGTTTGGTTTGGTTTGGTTGGGTTGGGTTTGGTTGGGTTGGGTTTGTTTGGTTAGGTTGGGTTTGGTTTGGTTGGGTTTGGTTAGGATTGGGGTTTATCTACCGCTCTCTATTCCTGCTCATCTCCTCTCCCCGCCTCCACAACCTAATCCTACTTCCCATCCATCATCTTCTCCTTGCCTCTAATCCACTCCTACTCCCCTCACCCTCTCCCTTACTCCTCTCTTCCCTGTTATCTACAATCATATTCTTCTCTATTCCCTCATGTTTCCTCCTCACTATCGCCCTCCTCCACCACTTATCCTACCCCTCTCCCACCTCCTCCTCACCACCCCCTCTCCCTCCACCCCTCCTCCTCACCCCTTCTCCTCACCACCTTCCCCCCCCCCCTCCACCAGTCTCTCTTACCCCCTCTCCCTTATTAACAGTAGTGAGGAGGGAAACTTGAGAGGGGTCGTAATACCGAAGGAAGATGACGGTCTGGCGCCGCTGTCCCTTCAAGGTCGACCACACCCACACACACACACACACACACACACACACACACACACACACACACACACACAGTCAAGAAGTTAAAACACACAACACTTTTACTCCCTCAACAAGACAGGGAAGAAATCACACCGACTTATATTTCATGGTCAAGGAATGAGACTATGACGTGTATGGTTAGATCAGGTTAAGTTAGGTTATTATTACACAAGATAATTAATTCTAGTATATTGTTTATAAATATTATACAACCTCATGTTCACGTCAATTATATCGATTTTATCAACAATTCAGCAAAAATTTGGTTCTATTCATAAGTTTATTAAGGAAAAATAACTATTTAGACCTCTATTGATACTAAAATATATGTGTGTGTGTGTGTGTCCGATTAAATCTTAATATACTACGGCAATCATTCTGCCAAGTTCTAAAATAGATATGCTAGGCCTCACCATTTCCTCTATGTCATGGATGCCACACATCCACAACATTGCTAAAGCTGCCTCCCGAAAACTGGGAATGCTGTACAGGTGCCGTAGCTACTATACTCACGAGCAGTTGCTTCAAGTTTATAAAAGGATTCATTCTTGGAGTACTGCTCTCATATCTGGGGTGGCTCTTCTTCTGTTCAACTGTTAGATAGGGTGGAATCAAAGGCATTTCGTCTTATTAACTCTCCTCCTTTAGTTGATAATCTCTATTCCTTTCTCTTCGCCGCAATGTTGCTTCACTCTCTCTTTTAAAGGTACTTTAACGGGCAATGTTCGGTGATTTGGCATCCTGTGTACCACCGGCAGGCAGTGGACTCATATACATCCACACTAGAATAACCCGTTATAGTACCTCCTTCTTTCCTCCACAGCCAAACTGTGGAATGCTCTGCCTTCTTCTGTGTTTCCGTACTCATACAATTTGTCTCGCCATAAAAGCTGGTTTCCGGCAACTTTATGTACATTAATATAATGTTTTTCTTCTATTTTATTTTGTTTTACTCTTACCCCCCAGGCCCTGTTGTGGGTCGATGACTTGTGCGGGTGGGCTATTCCCGTAAAAAATAAAAATTATATATATATATATAT